TATGTGTGTGTGTGAATGCCTGTGTATGTTTGGATGCGTGTGTACGTTTATGTGTGTATAGCGCATTAGTACCATGTCAACGAGAACTCACACCTCCATCAGTTTCCTACCGAAATCTGTGCCTACAACAGCCAACCGACGTAAAAAAAAGTCAGAGAAAGAGAGTACCTGCTACCGTGAACGAGAAGCCAGCCTATACAGAGAGGGGAGGTCGTTTAACCCTTTCAAGTGCATTATTCCATCCCCACTCAGCTGTTTCAATAAGCTTGGCAGAACGGGCAATGGAAATATCAAAATCTGTTAGTTTTAGAACGGCTGAGCTGATATTATTTCTTTCTTTTTTATTTCCTTTGAGAAAAAATTAAATTTAGAAGTTCCAGCTCTCTGCTCTAGTGATATGTTTGCTTATTCCAGTCAGCTGTGAGACGGTGGAAGAGGATCATGAGTATTTGGATACACTTTTATATATACTCATGCTTATATGTATAATATTATATATATATATATATATATATATATATATATATATATATACATATATATATATATATATATATATATATATATATTATATATATATATATATATATATATATATATAGATATATATATATATATATATATATATATATATATATATATAGATAGATAGAGATAGATAGATAGACAGATAGATAGATAGATATGATGTATATAAAAAAATTATTTCTTTTCATTTTTTTTTCTTTCTTTTAGCAAATCAGTGTTGTCATGTGAGAAAATAAATGTCATCTTGACCTGTATATCACATTACAGGTCCATTACTCCATTAATAATAAACCTCTGACATATAAACTTGGGCAAAGTGAGTGACGTTTCCTTTCAAATCGGAGACAATAACATCTTGCAGGAATTCTTATGTTGGCATTTCTGTTTGTCTGTTTTATTATTGTACTTTGAATTTTCTGTCTCTATCTGTCTGTTTCTCTCTCTCTTACACACACACACACACACACACACACACACACACACACACACACACACACACACACACACACACACACACATATATATATATATATAATATATATATATATATATATATATATATATATATATGATATATATATGTGTGTGTGTGTGTATGGAGAGAGAGATATATATATTTGTGTGATTTTCATTATTATGTTTATCATTGTTGTCAATCAATAAAGGGAGGGAGGGAGGGAGGGAGACTGGCGGGTTGGAGGAGGGCTGTGACCTCTCGGAAGGCACGCATCAATCCGTGATGGACTGCAATTTCTGCATGACCCTCTTGAACTGACCTAGCTTCTCCTCTTGGAGTTTGGATAGTTCTTGAAGATCATGCATAATTGCATGCAATTCCCTTCGCAGGGAATCGAAGTCCCACGGAGCGACTTCCTGGGTCTCCTTCTCGGGCTCTAGGGTGACTTCCTGGGTCTCCTTCTCGGGCTCTAGGGTGACTTCCTGGTCTCCTTCTCGGGCTCTAGGGTGACTTCCTGGGTCTCCTTCTCGGGCTCTAGGGTGACTTCCTGGGTCTCCTTCTCGGGCTCTAGGGTGACTTCCTGGTCTCCTTCTCGGGCTCTAGGGCTTCCTGGGTCTCCTTCTCGGCTCTAGGGTGACTTCCTGGGTCTCCTTCTCGGCTCTAGGTGACTTCCTGGGTCTCCTTCTCGGGCTCTAGGGTGACTTCCTGGGTCTCCTTCTCGGGCTCTAGGGTGACTTCCTGGGTCTCCTTCTCGGGCTCTAGGGTGACTTCCTGGGTCTCCTTCTCGGCTCTAGGGTGACTTCCTGGGTCTCCTTCTCGGCTCTAGGGTGACTTCCTGGGTCTCCTTCTCGGGCTCTAGGGTGTTCCTGGGTCTCCTTCTCGGGCTCTAGGGTGATTATATTTCTGACGAATATTTTCACAGTACAAGAGATTATATCTTCGTCAGAAATATGGTATTCAATCTCATTCATATCTTTATTATTTGTCACAATTAATACAGTTAGTTTTACAATAAGCTTTAATTGCATGTTGATTATTAATTGCACGAAAATCACTTAAATGATCATTATTATTGATATTAATATTATTATTATTGTCATTATTGTTATTATTATTATTGCTGTTGTTGTTAGTAGTAGTAGCAGTAGTAGTAGTAGTAGTAGTAGTAGTATCATTATTATTATTATCATCATCATCAACATCATCATTATTATTATTTCATCATTATTATTACTGTCATTATTAGGATCATATATATTTTTTCTTATTGTTATATCATTCTATTATTCATTTTCATTATTCCATTATTATTTACGACCCTGATTAAATCCATTACTTTCAGCAATAATTTTTCTCTTTCTTTTTTCCGCGACTCGTCCTAGATCAGAAGAAAATCGGGAATAAAAGTTTGAACTGAAGTTTTGGAAATTAGATTAAAATTACTGGCGCGTAATACTTGTCTTTATCCATCGGATATGCTTAATCAGGGGGTAGATTAGTGGCCCGGATATGCTT